CTCCTGCTCGCAAAGGATGAGTTAATAGCAGCCTCTCATTAAGATACTGCAAACAAAAATCCTAGGGGACAAAGGCATGTAAAAGAACTTTGTGCCTTTCTCTGTTATTCTCATGCCAGGAACTACCAATATTGAAAAGCAAGAATCAGTAAAACTTGTGTGAATTGTAGAAGAGTTAGAAAGAGACCATAGTTTTAGGCCTTACTGTTCATGGATTAATTTTGTATACCACTGCATATGTAAGGACTATTTAGTTTAAAGGAAAGAACTGGCCCATTTGCAGAAAGAAGAGGCAATAACCCAATTGTTTTTCACTCTTGAAAAGGGAGCTGTAGCCAAAAAACTCGGGCAAAAAAAATGGTGCCATGTGTAGGTTTCATTCTGCTTTAAAATCTGCCACTTGAGCAATGTACATGGTTGCAACACTACAGAAAATAAAGCTTATTTCATAATGTCCATCTATAATCTATCTGCAAAAAGATTAGAAGAAAAAGCCTAATTAAGGTGTACAAGTATTTCATGAAAGCAAACAGCAAGAGTGGAAAAGATTTAGTTTTGCTATGATGTACTATAAGAGCAGTAAAGGACTAGTCAAACAAAAGCTTAGGTGCCATCTCAGGTAAAATTTCTGAACCATAAAACTCCTAAGTGAAGTGAAAGAAGCTCCAAAAAATTCAAAATCTAAAACCTGGCTGAGAAAAACAACAGAAAAACGTACTGGGGGGAACAATTGAAGGATGGATGACTGGGTCCTCTTCATGCATAAACTCAGTGAATATATCGGTTTAATTTACTAATTTACTAAGGATATTTGCTAACTATAAGCCATGGATATTAATTTTAACAAGGAATCAGTTAAAACTGTATTATAGCCATGTAAACACCTTTTCCTAGCCTGTACTCTAAATGACATCTTAAGAAAAGGGAACCCAGAGGATGGAGTGATTAAATCTCACCAAATATATTCAACAGAATAAAAGAAAAAATCATGAGTTACAAATTGTGATGCTCAGAAGTAATCGTGTAGAAATAGTATCATCTTGCTTTTTACATCTGCTTTGTATATCTGTCTCCTCATTTTTCTAACAAAAGCTATTACACGCTAAGTAAAGAGGTAACAGCAGACACCTGGGCGCTGAAACTTACTCAGTATCAATATACCTTCAGCAAATTGTTACAAGACTTATGACAGCAAAAGCCTTCATCACTGATGACAATGCATGAACCAAAAGGCATAGGTTATTTAGCATAACACATCATCTGAGGCATTCTTCTCTAAAACTAAAGATTTTTTTTCAAACTAAATCTAGAAGCAAGATATAGACATAATAAAATCTGAATTCCAAGTTGATATGAGTCATTTTCAGACAAATTATTCTTAAAAGAATGGAAAACTTCAACTGAAGCTGAAAGCAGCGATTAAGTGGATCAGGGCAGTGGAATACCTTTTGGAAATGGCAAGTTTAACAAAATAATTATATATCTGTCTTTTTGAGAGCAAAAGACCTGTATTAGTTAGGAATTTGTTTACTTCAGAAATTACACCTTTATAAAGCAGAGACGAATAAGGACAGTAAACTGTAAAAATTTTAATGGAATTTAAATACTGCATTGAAGCAAGAAGAGGATATATGGAAAACACTCTCCTGACAAATAATTTCTAAGGTTTAGACACAGTAAATCAGGAAATGACTATCAGAAATGTAACAAGCTTTTTTATTAGAGATAACAAGGAAGGAAAAGAGTCTAACAAGAGGAAACAGAAATGAGATCCAATTAGGCTGATAACAGGAAATTTAATTATCCTGAAAAGGGAAGCTCTATAAGCTGGAAAGACTTGTAACTCTTCATGACTGTTCCAGAAGCTAACTTTTTGTTGACAAGTGGACAGGATAAACTATAGAATACCTTAATAAAAACAAAATAAAACAAAAAACTAACAAAAAGATCCATTAAAGAATACTACTAATAAAAAAAGACAAAATAATGTTGTAGTTGTAGTTCATTCCAGTAGTTCCAGGGATTCGATAGATAAGATGTTATTCCCAGGGCTTTGTGTGCAAATTTTTCATTTTTTCTTTAATCAAATTTTGACTCATTTATAGGACAAAAATTGGAATGTATTCTTTCAACTAAAATAGATTTAACTGATTAAGATATTTTTACTATAACTTGATTACTGCAGATGGAAAAATGATTTACCTGGATATTTTCAGTGAAGCCACCTGAGACAGCACTGCATCAATTCTCCAGTAGGTAATATTTTCAAACAAGAAAAGTCCATACATACAAGAAAAAGCATTGTGTTTATTTTCCTTCAGTTTCAGATGCTTTTGCACATTTTGTTTAAATTTTATATAACCTGCATATTATTTGAAAACCAGTTGTTTTTATGAGAGAATATTAATTTTTAAAAAACTGTATTAAAATAACTAAAATGGTATCTGGAAAAATGACTTATGGTTCTTGGGATAAGTGAGTTCTAGCAGCATCTTGCAGCCCTGCAGTGCTAGAGCAAATATTCCTCCTTCCTTCCAGCATCTGATGTTGCTTCTCAAACAACAGTTTAGGGAAGCAGAAAAGTAACACTGGGAATCAGAGCTCAGAGAAACAGAATTGCCACCAAAATCTGTTCATGTCACCAGCGCAAAGCTGGTGGGAAGTGTGATACTGCCAGCCGACTGTCTTTAAGAGTTCGCAAAGTTGTGAAAAAAAATATGCCTGGATGAGCAGGGGAGAGTTGGAAAGGCTGAGAAGAGAAAGGACAGGGGAGCCTAGGAGACTGAAGGGAGTAAAGAGTTCACGTCTCTGGTTCCTTGGAGGGGAATACAAGTTTACTGGATTTCCAGAGGTAAATGCAAAGACTGGGATAAAGTTCCTACTGGCTTGGAACATGGCTTGCCGTACTGAGAACTATCCTCCACAGGGACAAGCTGGTGTTGGGAGCATGGGAGCAAGGTGCTCTCCCACAGCATCTCTCTCCAATTCCACAGCTGGTCTTGCACGGGTGATAGAGGCTACTGACTAACGGGATGCTGTCCTGCCTGTACAGTTACACGTCATTTTGCATATTTAGGGTATCTCTGAATATAGGAAAAGTAGTAATATTTTATCTGGAGGGATTAAAAGCTAAAGTTAAAAGAATATTATTACACACAATTATTTAAAGTGTAGGGAGAATTTATTATGAAATTATGACAAGGTTCATTATGACAGAATATTCTGTCCAGTTCCTAGTTGGTACTGGATTCAAAAGCCACGAACAATCGTAATAAGCTAGAAACTGTGGCAGACCTAGGCAAAGAGAGCTCAAGTGAGTTGAATTAAAAGAAAAGAGGCAGGAAATCCTGCTTCTTACTCTAAGCTGTGACAGTGATTTATTCCCTTAGTATGAACCTTACAGATGTCAGCAAATCCTCGTTCTTAATCTGTGAGTGACAAAAGGTTTCTGTAAACTGGCAAATGACCATTCTCCCAGTACACAAAGAGTAGGAAGCAGCAACTAGGACACACTGCAGTTTGCTAATACTGTACTGATCCAATGGCTTTTTTTAGATTAGCTGCAACATTGTTTTTTAAATTAAGAGACCTGTAAAATTTCCTACTTAGCTCCTTTGATCCACTGTATTTACTGAACACAGCTCTACATTCAAACCTTAATCTTTCTGAGCCTCAGCAACAGATTGGTTTTTTCCCCCTCTTGTTACCTACCTTCCATGGATTCTGAGAATTACCATAGGTAATAGTGATGTGTTTAGTACTTAATTACAACTGAATTTAATACTAAATACAGTATTACCAAACAGTAATACACCTATCAAATGAAGTGATGGAAGCAAAGACTAAATACGATTTAACTATTTTTTTTTTTTTTTGTAAGGAGGGAAAGAGTTTTGAGCAGTTCTCTGAAAAAGCTGGACACTGGTACTGAGATCAGTTTTTGGCTGGTATGTTTGAACTGAATCAGATCATGAAGGAGCCAGAAAATATTTTTTCCCCATTCCTTACAATTCCTCTTAATTTTTTCAGACTGGTGCATATTTAGAAATAAAATCTAGGCAGGTGGGCAGGACAATATGATAGAACGGCCAGGCACAAAAGCAAGGAGACAGGACAGCAAAAGAGCAAGTATCAGTGAGTAAGCAGACTCAAAGAGCAGCAAGGGGACACTGTAATCAAGAAGCAGGTGAAAAGGCAGGAGGAAAATGCCAGACATTCAGCAAGTCGATAAAGCAGTACCAAACAGCAGGTGTGCCAAGCAGCAGAAGGGCAATTCCGCAAAGTCAGCAGATGCACTCAGCAGGAAGGCGATGCCAGGCACTCGGAGCGAGAGACAGGGCAGCAGAAGGCCAATGCCCGTGTGCAACCAGATTGAAAGGACAATAAGGAGGCGATACATGCCGTTCAACGGATGGGCATGGCAGTAGGTAGTCAGTGTCAAGCAATTAGCTGGTCAAGAGGTGATGCCAGACAGTCAGGCAAAGGGCCAAGATTTCAGGAGGGCAAGGCCAAACAGCCAGCAGGTAGAGAGAACAGAAGAGAGTTGCAAATGCCAGGCAGTCCCCGGACAGGCAAGGCAGCAAAAGACCAAAGCCCATGAATAATCAGACGCGACTGTCAGCAAGGACAAAACATAAGCCTGCCAACCGATTGACAGGGCAGCAGGGTGGCAGTGCTTTTTCAGTAACTTAGGATACCATGAGTGAAACAGTTGCAAGAATCTAGATGCTCACCCTCTGGTAATATCATTAGATCAGAGTGAACCATGAAAATCCACAGGAGAATAGCACACAAATGGAAACAGCAGATGAGTCTGACCCTAGCACTTGGGGAGGCCATGGGACCTTCCTATAAAACAAAAATATGAGAATCCACAAGAAAATCAAACAAATGGGAAAAATGTGTCTAAAAACTGTTTCTGATGATGATTTAAAAAGCAAAAAAATACTAGCAAAGAATTAGTTCAGAAATGATTGGGTGGGATTGAAGATGTTGCTTACCCCTCTCTGGAGCCCACATAATGGGAATGTTGGGAATTTCTGCAGCAGAAAAACAGAAGAGAAAAGGGATTTCTGACTCCCAGTTCAAGGAAAGCATGTCAATTTAGGACTGGGTAACCTCTTTGGGCAAAAAATAAGAACTCAGTTGAATCTTTGCCCATCCCCAGACACATGCCTTTACTGAGGTTTGCAAAAAATTTAAGAAGCCCACAGCACTTTCATCTCATGACATCCCACCCTTATTCCCCGCAACCACACTTACCTCTAGCACAAGGTGTGTAAGAGGGGAAAGGGGATGATCTTGTGAGCTCATTCCCATATCCACTGCAAAATAGCTCGTGAAGATGAACAGGAGTACCCATTAGCCACTGCCGGCCATTTGTGAGATAAACTGAAGAAGTCATTAACTGTTACTCATCACTAGTGTAGGCTGGTGTTTGAATCTGGCTTAGATACACCCACAATCTAATGAGAAGAATTAGTCTCATGAGTTGTGGGGCAACCCTCTTTTATGGCAGGAGTTGCAAAAGTACAAAACTTATCGACACCTTTTTTTTTTACCTCAAATCTCTTTTCTTTAACTTAAGCACTCTGTTCTTTAACATGGTTGGTTTTTTAAACAAATCAAACCATGTTTCAGAAATCTTAGCTTCTGCTCTATTTCAGAAACACGTCATGAACTCTGGGATGCAAGAACTGAGAAAATCCCAGCAGTAATAAAGTTCAGTAGTTTAACTCATCTGTCATTTCAGTCGTGAGTCTTTTTAATCAGTAAGTACCTTCCTAGTAACTAAAAGTCAACCAACCAGGAATCAAACTTCACTATTTCTGTCCTCTTAAAGTCCATATTGTGTATGTACTTATCTGCCTGCATGTTAACTTCTCATTGGTCACACTGAAAACCTACATCTCACTGGTAAGTCAGTAATATGCAACAGGAATCCAACTCTTCCTTCCCTTGTGAACTGTAGAGAACCTTACACACAATAAAGGAATCACTAATTCTGCTGTGCACTACTGAATTAGCATTTGGAAAGGTCACAGAAACAGAACCCATATCAATTTGCCACGTATACTCTTTAAGGAATACAGTACTAATAGGCTAAGATGAGGGAACATTATTTATACTGTGATTCTCTCAGTATTAGCCACTCATTCTCCTTCTAGCTGAGCAAGACACAGGAATAGTAGAGGCTAACATAACTTCCAATTTAGAAACTGGGGTCATTAAATAGGAATTTCTTCTATATCCAAACTTTCCTGTATCAAACACTACCATTTGGGCTTAGAACAGAACTACAAGAAATTTAGGCAGAGGAGACCAAGTGATTTCCATCGTATGATTAGTAATGGCATAAACCACCCAGGAATAGCATACAATGACTGAAAACAGAGTAGATATTAATACTATAGAGTCCGAGGTACTTAGAGCATGCATTGGCAGCTTTATCAAATCCTGTGATTATGTGGCCAGCAGCAGTTACAGTTAGCTGCACCACACCAAGAACAAAATTGCTAGCACCTTCTCTCCAAAGGGAGATCTTTCGAGGCTCAATGAAAATGAACTATGACAAACTGATCTCAGCGAACCATAAGAAAATGTTTATTTGTGGAAGAAAAGACAGACTTTTTAAATCTAGTGAAAGTTTAAATGTCAATAATAAATAATCAACAGTAGATTATGCACCTCACTATTATTTTGGTTATTCTTACTACAAAATAATTGGGAAAAGGAATATATACACAAAAGTGACAAGAATTTAGATCATATCTATGAGTGGTCTAAATTAAGGTTAAAAAGTAATTATTTTCTTGTCCATAATTGATAAGACTTTCATGCCTGAGTGTGACAACAGTAATTTTGGTTTTCCTTTCTACTATTAAAGCTTCACTGCTCCACGTGGTAGCAATTAGGAGAAAGAGGAAAAGGACCAGTTATAATCCTAAGAATAACTGCTGAAGCCAGCTGCTTTCCAAGACTCTTAAAGTTTCTTTCCACTTAATGGCTGGAAGAGCTCCTACACAGCAGGAAAGGAGCAAATGAGAAATCCTCTACTCTTTAATAAGTATTAGTTTTAATGATCAACTATTTTAATAGTGAGTCATCTTGCTATTCTGGTGCGCTTATGTCAAAAAGACTAACTCACTCAATTTTTGAAACATCTTAAATCCAAACTAGTATTTCCCCTCTAGTTATCATTTCTTTAAGCTGCCTTCATCACAGAGAAGTCTTCCTAACATGCCTATACATTTTTTTGTTAATTTTCTCTGTATTAAGCTTTTATTAAACTCTTTGTAATAGACCATAACCAGAAAAAAATGACACATTAAGGGCAAGAGTTGCATAATTACAAGCCTGATAATGTTTTCAAGATTATTTTGCCTTAACCTGATGTTTAATTTTGTTCAGTTTCCTATTATCTGCTATGAAGAGATGTTTTAATGGAAACTATTTTTAGAAATGCCTAAAAGGGAAAATTCAAAAAGTTCCAAATTGAAAATTTCATTATGTAGAAGTCCGTTGGCAGGCATATCTTCTTCCCCAGTTACAGAAAGGACTGCAAAAATCTATCTACGGTCACAGCTACACTGCAAATAGGAGCCAAGTCAGTTAATTTGACTGTCAAAGATGACTGTATGAGCTGTGGTCCCTACAGTGAATACATGGCAGACATCAGTAATGCCTAGAGGAGGAGAACCCTTCTCTTCACCCTGATAAAAAGTAAATTGTAATCATATTGTTCTTCTGGGTGTACTTTTGAAAGTATTTGGGATCACTGAATATGAAACATTTATCCACCTACAGGATATGCTGAGTCTTCTTCCAACTCCCATCCTTAAACTACCTTGAAATAAAAAAATTAATTGCAAAATTTAAGATAAAAAAGCAAGATTTCCTGTTACATTACTGTGGCTTTGCTTCTCATTCTACGAAACATTCAAATCCCTTACTGCTGTTTTACTACCGTTTTTTTCTTTTCAATAGAGATAGCAAATATTTCATACATGTTTGAAAGACAGAAAACAGAACTTCTGTTTGCTATTTGAGAGTATTAAAGAAATAAAGCAAATAAAAGTTGATCTTCAAATGGGCAAAAATAACCAACTGCTAAACAGGAATTCAATTAGATTTATCTTTAGAATATGGTGATCAGATGACTTTACACAGGAGGTTAATATATCAGTTAAATAATTTAAAGGGTATTTACCCCAGCTTCCTCAGCCAATATTATCAGAATTTTGCATTTTCAGAAAAGAAACAGAGAATCACTTCATGTAATCCTTTTGGACACAGGAAACAAAATTGCTTATTTATTAATTTCAGGATCCACTGGATTCAAACTATCTTCTTATTTAGAATCTAGAAGGCTAGAATCTAGTTTGGCCTTCCACACAGGATAACTCATTAAACATCACCCATGACTTCTGTCAGGAATACTTGAGTTTTGTAAGATAATCAATCACTTTTGATTTGACAGGACTAAAATGGAGAATACAGCTCTTCTTTAGGGATTTTGTTTGTGTGATTAATCTCTCATTGTTAAACAAATCAACCAACCCAAACACATAAAAAACTTCTAATATGATGATTTTCTTATTAGCTTTTTCTGGCTCGAGCTTCTTATCACCAGCTGTTGTTACAATTTTCTTTAGTAGACTAAGCAAGCCATTGGTACCTTACATTATTAATTCACAAAAAAATAGTGTTTTAATAATAGTAATACATTATATACCTGACATTATTATTTTTCAAAGAAAGTACAGGTGAAAAGCAAGTTATTTCTCTGTGTTCTTTATGATAAACTAAACAGACAGAGTTGTGTAACTCTCAGAGAAAGCATCTCTCCTGGCCATCATATATTTTTTTGACCTTTTCCTATACCCTCTGTGACATTTGAAACTTTTTTAAAAGGGAATGTCAGAAAAATATACAGCCTTCCATTTTAGACACATCAATCATCTCATACACAGAGATAAAAGTAGCCTCTATATTCCTATTCCTTTTTTTCCCCACCATCTTCATACTTGTCTATGTTGGGAAATCTAGAGAGAAACTGGATTGAAAGAACGTATGTCTCTCAACTTGTAGCTCAGCAGGACACACAGACAAGGAAACACATTCCAAACTGCTGTTTATGTAGCAGAATATCAAGAATTTACCAAGCTGTTTTTATTTATCAAAATTAGCACTCTTCAGGATGCGCTCTCTGCATATATTTCCCCCTTCCATTGTTTATTTGTTTGTTTGTTTTTTCTTTTCGGTTGGGGGTTTAGGGTGGGCTTAGTGGGGTCTTTTATTTTTTTATGTAACTTTTGATATTCAAATAAATGGAGCTGAAATGGGATCTGGCTTCCTGCCCTCTTACATTTCTCACTATAGCTGTCCTGGCAGCTCGCAGGTGTTTCCCTGCAGTGACTACAGTTGGTGATAGCACAACCAAGCTCTTCAGTGATGCTGGCGTGTTACCAAGTTTTCCTGAGAAACTTAAGAGAGGAGAAAGCCCACTTTTTAGCACTTCATGTCAGCTAAATCAGTTTGGAATTTCACAAGAAATTCCCAGGTACTTCTGCAAGCTGATGGTGTACTGTCTAGTGCAAATAACCTGCATACTGCAGCTTCTTGAAGAAATTGGTAATGGTTGGTTAGCGAAAAATGTTCTGCAACTAAATGTATCAATTCTGCTATAAAACCATGCCTTCCAAATACAAGATTCAGAATCTAATTATAGAATTTTTAATTAAATGAATGAGGTACATAAATATATGTGGATTTTTATAACACCAAATACAGTGTTTCAAATAATAAATATTACTAACAAATTAAAGCAGACTGGATAAATACCTAATCATATAGGCTAGGAACTGTCTGGAGGACTAAGAAAAAGGTAATGGTACCTTATAGAGATGCAGATAAACTTCTAACAGAGTAGCACCGAATTTGGAAGGCGCCTGTAACAGAGCAGTCTATTCCACTTAAGCATATTTGTTCCCTGGATGCACCTGGCAAGGTTTCATAATTCAGACCTTTTAGGAGCAAG